AAAAAGCAGTGTTTTTACAATTCATTGATTTACTCGAAAAGTATAATACATAGAATGAATCCAAAATATGCATATGAAAGCTGAATGTTTGGGGAATGTAACGTATATTCATATATTACTGTGGATTTAGCCGTTTGGCTGTAATTCGTGTTCAAAATTTAAAAAATGCTCGAAAAAGCAGTGTTTTGTTTTATTTTAATTATTTGTAAATTATCTAAAAATTATGCTACTATCCATTCATCCATTATAACAGTTTTTATATCTGGAAATTTTAAATCAGAAAAAAATAATTTTTAGAAATTAAAAATTCCTTAAAGGAAAGGATGAATCAATAAAATATTGATTAATACATTTAAAATTACTTTGCGTATGTAAATTGTTAACTAAATTGCTTCGCGTGTGGGGTTTTTGAATAACATTAACAGAAGTTCACAATTTCGCGACAAGTTCTGGTATAATCCAGAAAGGAAATGAAGCAGAGAATTAATTGGAAATCGATGTAGGCTGTTAGTGCGTATTAATGTTTAGTCGATGGATCCACCGCAGTTTCCAAAAACAAAACAGATGGATGTACAGGTAGATTTATTACTGCTACTATCCATTAGCATCGGGCCTTTATCAATCGAAATGATGGCGAGCCGTTTAATAGATTGTCCCTTAATTGGGGGGAAAGCAAAATTCGATACACTTAGACTGGAAGTCTTAATTGCATCGACATCAAATTAATAATGCTGATGTTGTTGATGATGATGCGATGATTGACAACAGTCAATATTGGAACTCAATTAATAAAGTAGTGTATTTTTGTTTGGTTTCCAAGACGACGATGATGATGTTGATGATGCGGTGTGATCCAGGTGTGCGTCGTTAGCAGATGGTTTCATTTTGTTTTATTATTTTGGATCGACATGATCGTAATAGAGGGTGTGCATACACACACACACACACACGGATGGACACGCACAATTTCCTAATGACGGGCGGATGAATTGGTATCGGATTGCCGATGATTGATTCCAATTAAACGTCAAACGGAACAATTCAATTATTTTTAGTTACCAGGCCGACGATGGAATAAAAGAAGAAGCAATCGTCCACCACGTAATTTCCATTCCAGCGCACGAATCGATCGGGAAAAAAAAATGAATAGAGGAGAAAAAGAGTGCACTTTTATCATACGGAAACGGGACGGAATCTCGTCTAATCGACATTTTAAGGACAAATGCTCGAAACACGTTTCGCATTTTCCCCACTTATAATTTACATCTAATTCGACCTATTCTACACTCGGATTTGTTTCAAAATTGCTAAAAAAATCCAGGCATTTATTTCACTCAAATCGTAGCAGTTCTTAACAAATGTTACATAAAGCATTTTACAAGGTGGCGCATAATTTGAATTGGCTGCCATTTTGTTATAAATTTAAAAAAAGAGCTCTGTTTTCATCAAAAGTTTATTTGAAAATTTAAAATTGGTGACATTACATTACTAATTCACTATATATTCACTATTACATCATAAATGTCAAAGCACGGTGACATTTGGCGCCATCTGTAAAAATAACAGCTAGTTCAAATTATGACATTACTTTTGCGCCACCTTGTACTTCTGCACGCACAATGAACATATTTACTAAATTAAAAACAATCTCATAAACTAATAAAAGGTTTCTTTAAATCCAATGAAAAAGCTGAGACATTAATAATAATTTTCTTTTTAACTTATAATTTCAATCAATTCAAGATCGAAAAGATTTTTACAAACTATATAATTTGTATAATATTTCCTTTATCGATTTAGAATCGAATTGAAATGTAAAATTTATTGAAATTAATATATTTAATAAGAATATTGTGGATTCAGTTTTTATGGTAATGCTTTGAAACTCTTTGGAAAGAAAAATATATTAAAGTTAACTTCGATATTTGAATTATATACGCTATGTGCATATCCTTGAAAAGGAGAATTTATTTGTCTTTTTGACTGTCGAAAGTTTTGCGAAGTTTTGAAAGTACACAAACATAATACGTTAGTTTCCAGTTGACAACGAAAAATTGATCGAAGCTTCATCAATCTCTGCTTAAGAGGTGTTAAACTTTGTTAATCCAATAATTTAACTCATTTTTGAAGAAGAATGTCGTTTAAATTATCTTCAGTTGGGATAAATTATAATTTCTAAACATTAGTAAATAGTGAAGAAAAATATTAATAATGAAAAATGTGAGTCTATATCGCAAGCCCGACAACCGAAAGGCAGTCTATTGAAATCACGACGTTCGAAATCCCGACTGTATTAAAGTACCGACGCTTAAAATCCCGACTATGTCCAAATCCCGACACCATAATCCCGACAATCAAAATCCCGACTGTATCGAAATCCCCACTATATCAAAATCCCGACTACCATAATCCCGGCTGGCTCAAAATCCCGACTAACATATTCCCGACAATCAAAATCCCGACTATATCGAAATCCCGACTACCATAAAAATGTTATTGTAGAAATTTATAATAATAAAAGACACTGTCGAGATTTAGATATAGTCGGGATTTTGAGCTAGCCTCATGATTTCGATAGACGAGATTTCGGTTGTCGGGCTCTTGCAATTACCACCGGAAAAATGTATGTAGGATGTAAATTATTGAAAAAAGAGTGTGAATTATTGAATTAGGTCCAAAATATAATCTAATCTAACAAATGGACTTCATTTTATTTGCCTTGAGTTAGGAAAGATCATCCATCTAAATATTAATAATTCGCAAATAGTGAACATTTAAATAATCAATATTTTTGATAATTTAAAGAAATTTAGTGTACATTTCAATGCATTATTCATGTAAACATTACTCGACTCTCGCGAGATTCACCCTCACGAAATCCATCGATTGTGAAAGCTTGTTACAATTAGACGAGAGGCACGGCTACTTACGCCCTTCGAGTAAACCAATTAGTTTTAATTGATATTCGAGTTATCAACGATAATTGGGTCAAATCCCTGTTGAGACTCGCGCGTACGAACGCTGCTTCCCATCATAACCAAAACAGTTTTCGTAATTTACATACGCAACGAAAATATAATTAATTTAACAAAGAAATAACATAATAATAATTGTAAATAATACAAGAACATATTAAAGAATATTCCTAATTCATATTACAGTTTTCAGATTTATTGCAAATTCCCATTTTACGTAATCATTAAAGTGCTCCCAAAGTGCAACAATCTGTTTGGTGCCAATCAAAATTTCAAGATTTGATATCGAAATTATGCACAATATTTAATTATGTATATAAAAAAAAGATATGTATCTGAGACTGGGCTGTCAATTAATTTGGCGCCGGACTAATTAATTTACTTTGGGAGGATCAGGCGATAATCGGAAAGCACTTGAAAATGCCAAACAGTCTAGCGAGCATTGACGTAAACGTGTATATTATTATTATTTATACACACTATCATTATTATGTAACGGCAATCATTAGTGAAGTATACAATATGTATTTATTAATTTAGGACGAGCACACACAACGGGAAGCTTTCAAATTAATTGTGACGATGTGTTAGTCTCATCCAACACATTTTGAGCGCACTTCCAATAAATATCCTATTTTCAACAAAGAACAAAAAAATGGATTATTTAAATTCAATTAGTAAACAATTGGAAATAACTTATTATAGTTTCTAGTAATTAAAATTACATACAAAATAAATCTATACTTAAAGCATGAATTGTGAGTAAACCTCCACTCGCCTACTTTGTTTTGCAGAACACCAAATAAAAATCCAAATAATTCGCGTTCAAAATTGAAAAAAAAATGATCTTAAAAGCAGTGTTCAGCAAATTTCAGCACAAATATCTGAAAATTATTGCAAAGATTGTTGAAAATCGTCCGATAGCAAAAAGCATTTCAAATATGAAGCTCAATTCAAATGTAAAGATTCAAAGATAAATCTCATTTGAAAAAAATGTTCTGTCTTCATTTTCATTAATAATTGAGTTAAAATTGTTATCAAACATTAGAATTATCAAAAATTAATTAGCAACTAATGTACTAAATATTAAAATACTATAAATAACAAATTAACATCTACGTTAAATTAAAATTGAATTATTTCAATCAAATTGTTATAAAAACATGAGGATTACGAGAAATTAACTGAAAATGTTTTTATTTTTTTTTGTTGAGTTTGATGGATGTTAAATGTGTCCGTGAACGGGTGTTTGCATTTGCTAAAGTTGAATTCCAGTTCGAACTTTATCGTCGGTCCTCTCTATTTAAACTACCCGAATTAGCGTCCCTTTAGGGCTAATCCCGACTGTTTTCCCTCGAGCATTAAAACCCGTTCACCGTCCTGCAGACGGTGGTATTTGCAAAGCTGGCGGGGATGGGGAAGAAGTGGACTATTCAAATTAACCACCCGAAATGGGGGCTTATAACACAAGGAAGAACGCGAAAAAAAACAACAACAACAACACCGAAAGATCTCATTAACTTAATCGCTAACACAATATTTACCGACACTTTTCAACGTTTGCTTAATAGTATTAATGAGTAAACATGAAAAGAAATTGTATAATTTAATTATTGCTAAAAAAATGTATCAACGTTGCTTCCATCTTTGGATAGTGATGATATTGAAAAGTTTGTAAACGCTGTAAACGAACATCTGTAAGCCTGTAGAAATCCCATGTAAAAGTAAGGATTTTCTGCGTATCGCTTCCATGGAATTAAGTCCGAGTTAAAAGTTAGAACGATTTTTTAATTAAGCTCCTCGCTAGGAAAGTGCTCGCAAATCGAATTACGATAAAGTTTCTTTACCTTCTGCAACCCCAATTACCTATCTAACATTATTACTCCAACAAATTGGGGAACCAACATAAAAAATAAATAAATATTTTATAATTTTTAACGAATCTCGTTAAAAACTACAATTTTCGCGCCCCGTTAACATTTGTTGTACTACTCAAACGTTTCATGTTTCATTTTTTCAGGAGATTTGATCGATAATGGCGAAGTACTCGATGGAGAACCTGTTGGAGGGTATTCGCTTAGCGAACGAAACATGTCTTCAGCTGTACGGAAACGAATCGCTCAGCAGCACCATTCAAACCGTCTTCAACAAAACTTTAGGTAAAAAGAGCGTAACTATCTCAGAAATAAAACTCCGTCTCCCCCCAACATAATCCCGATGCAAATTACATTTCCTTTGGTAAATTCAAATCGATTCGATTCGTTTCGTATTTCTCGCGTTCTTCCGTCCAATACACTTTTCGGCAAGACGCAGACACAGTCTTTTCAGCAACTTTTCAGCGGCAATACGAAAAGAAAGCGAAAGAAAATTGCGCTGAGAAGTATTAAGTGGAATTGCTCGTACGGCGTCCAAATAGCTTCGGGATCCTAATCTGAAATTAAAACAGTTATTTTCATTTACTTTTCTCACAACTAATGCTGTTTACTTACTTGAGTTGCAGACGAAACGCTTTCAGTCCTTCTTTTACCGAAACATCTCCTTTCTTTCCTAAATCAATTATTATTTTAATGTTTGAAATCATAAAATATTTATTAAGCACTTGAGCCTTCATTAAGTTTCCTAAATTTCGTATAACAAAGAGAGTAAAACCTTATAACCATTTTCTTGGTTTGCTATTCTTGTGGTATGTTTGCAATGCGAATTGAACTTCTTTTCATATTCTTATTTGTATTTCCGTAGGAGTGTACGTTTGCCCTGCATTCTTTGATGGAATAATGTGCTGGCCACCTACGCAGGCGAATTCAACAGCGAGTTTTTCCTGTCCGAGTTATTTTACTGGGTTTGATCCGGTAAGTTTTGTGTGTGTGTATGTACATATAGGATGCACGTAAAATATAAAGGGGAAAATCCTTTTACCTTCAAATGAAAGAAATACCATTCGGTTCAACCTTTATTTACAAACAGAATGATCGTCATCCGCTAAGAATACTGCGAGAAAAGGAGTTCACAACTCGATAAACTTCAATATAAACCTTGGAAATCTTTCAAATCGAAAATAGCAATTAGATTAGAGTCTGATCAAAATTCCGTGACAGAATCTTAAGAAATTAGTATACTTGTGAAATCTAGTAAAAAAAAAGAAACTTAATTATTTTATGTTTGTAAGTGTATTTGCGCTGAAAATTGAAGAGGATTATTTGTTGCTTATTGCATATTAATTTCACAACTATCTTTTATAAACTGTGCGCAAATATGCAAATATCCATACAAACTAAATATCTGTGCACTATATGGATTATGTTAGGAAATGCAAGTCGATTATTTATTGTGAAATGCAAATTATGTTCAAAACTATCAAATATTGCATTGTTTAGAATAAATTAATCATGTGTACAGTGTCAATACCTCGCACAGTGCGGGCTCGCCAATATTTTCCGGACTGTGAGAAACTGGACGAAATAAAATAGAAATAAACCGCACAAAAGGAGACTTGATTGTATATATATTTGTACAGAGTCATTACCTCGCACAGTGCGGGCTCGCCAATATTTCCCAGACTGTAAGAAACTAGACGAAATAAAATAGAAATAATCCGCACAAAAGGAGACTAAACTGAAAATATATTTGTACAGTGTCAATGCCTCGCACAGTGCGGGTTCTCCAATATTTCCCAGACTGTAAAAAACTGGACAAAATCAAATAGAAATAAACCGCACAAAAGGAGACTTGACTATATATATATTTGTACAGTGTCAATACCTCACACAGTGCGGGCTCGCGAATATTTTCCAGACTGTAAGAAACTGGACGAAATAAAATAGAAATAAACCGCACAAAAGGAGACTTGATTGTATATATATTTGCACAGTGTCAATACCCCGCACAGTGCGGGCTCGCCAACATTTCCCAGACTGTAAGAAACTGTACAAAATCAAATAGAAATAAACCGCACAAAAGGAGACTTGATTATATATATATTTGTACAGAGTCATTACCTCGCACAGTGCGGGCTCGCCAATATTTCCCAAACTGTAAGAAACTGGACGAAATAAAATATACATAACCGCACAAAAGGAGACTTGAGTGTATATATATTTGTACAGTGTCAATACCTCGCACAGTGCGGGCTCGCCAATATTTTCCAGACTGTAAGAAACTGGACGAAATAAAATAGAAATAAACCGCACAAAAGGAGACTTGATTATATATATATTTGTACAGTGTAAATACCTCGCACAGTGCGGGCTTGCCAATATTTCCCACACTGTGAGAAACTGGACAAAATATAATAGAAATAAACCGCACAAAAGGAGACTTGATTGTATATATATATGCACAGTGTCAATACCTCGCACAGTGCGGATTGCCAATATTTTCCACACTGTAAGAAACTGGACAAAAGAAAATAGAAATAAACCGCACAAAAAGACACTTGGCTATATATATATTTGTACAGTGTCAATACCTCGCACAGTGCGGGCTCGCTAATATTTTCCAGACTGTAAGAAACTGGACAAAAGAAAATAGAAATAAACCGCACAAAAAGAGACTGTATATATATTTGAAATTTTCAAACCGTACTATTATTAATCCGTACTATTCGATGTATTGGTGTCACGTTACTATTGTAAGAATATTAACTCTACAATTTCAAAACTAATTTCTTATGTAATAGATGTAAAATTGGTTAAATAAATATAAAAAATTACGTAATTATTTGTGTCAATATTAAAACAGTTTGTGGTGGAATTGAAATGGGAATCCACGAAACGTTTCGAATCGAATCGCCTCGCGTAATGTAATTGAGTGTGGGATAACGATCGGAGCAATTAAGTGATCTCCTATAGAATAAAGGCCTAAGTGTTTTGCCCAGGACGATAAGATTAACCGGTTCGGTTCGATCGATCTCCGCTCCATTAATGAACGACCTATTATCATCATCATCCTTACATTTTAAAATATACACACAGCAAAGAGCGACAGAGAAAGCAATCAAAATCTAAATTCCGGAATTGCAGCTAAAATTAAATAAATGCACTTTATTGTGTCGACCTTTCGACACAATTAATCACAATTCATTTATTAACAACCACTGATAAGCAGTATTTATGATTGAAAAACAATAATACCTGATTGCTATTTCGAAAATTAGTAAAATTGATTGAATTAACTTCTTCAGTTATTTGCATAGTATACAAATCTAATATAGATAAACGTTGCTTAACTTTCATAAACTGTCCATTAGCTAATGAATATTTTTGTTCTATTGATATGCATGCATTTGTAATAACCAAAAATAAAATGTTATTTTTATACATATTTTCTAAAACGATATTAATAAATATTTCGGTTATTTCGAATTTCGTCATTAAACAACACAAGTCAACGAAAAATAGAATCATTCAGCTGGAAAACGGTGCGCACTTGAAAACCAATTCAATATTATTTATACACGGTTAAATAACACAATCGAAATTGCTTTTCTGTTGCTACGCACAAATAGAAACTGCAAAATGCAATGTTTAAAATTAATTTCCTATTGATAAGTATTATTTTTCTTTTTCATTAATTTTAATTAATTCGGATGTTTGAGAATTTCAACAGTTTATGAAAAGCTTGATAATAATATATATACATATAAATTTTAATTTAATTTTAAATTGAATTGAATGTTGATCAATATTTGGGGCAGCGAGCAAAATGAATTTACGTATGAAATATATACAAACACATTTTATAATCGGTGAAATTAAAGTGAATTGAAAATCGTCAAACATGTTCTGCTTTTGATTCGTTTGGCTTTTACAATGAATCTCCGTTCGTTCGCGTCAAACGAATTCGGGGAAATTTCATTCTATAGAAACGCATACATGAAAGCCGCTGATGTAAAATTATTTTCGTTATGTATTGCTAAAATCACAGGAACGTATCAATAATTTGAGTATTACCTTTGAATTTCAACTTCTGTTTTCGTTCTGCGAGTTATTTCGTTTTTCAAATTAAACTGCAAGACGTGGAATTCGTAAATCAGGATTTACCTGTAAAAAGAAATAAAGGATCAGGGAAAGTGTAGGAATAGTATTTGTAATATGTTTCTCTTGTAAATATTATCATTATATTTATAAAAATCAAATTCGAAACGGATCCATCTCGTTTATATCATTTTAGGTAACAAAATAATATATATTATATACCTAACAAAAGTTAAATAACTAAAAAAATCCTATGACTAATCATCCATTTCTACATCGTTTTCATCATCATCATCGTCTTCTTCGGCTTCGTCTTCCTCCTCGGTGCTCAACTGCTCGAAACCCTTTTCCTTGTTCCAGCAAGCCCTCAAAATCAATTTGAACTCGGCCATCTTCTCGCCGATCAACTCCAGGATCTTGGCCTGCTCAGGTGTCAACACCGCACCCTTCTTGCACACGGTGTAGTCCTTTATCAGCGTAACAACGCCTGCAAATAAATTAAACGGTCATAAATATGCGCAAAACGCTATTAAAGCTTTGATCAACGATTATTGTTTCGCTATGAGCGTGCAATTAATTTACTTTAAGTGCCCATTATAGAATTACAAAAAAATCAATAAATGTACAGGAACATTATTACATTTTCAAGGATTCATATTTATAATATGAAATTGAAAATTAGTTTATATTAAAGATAAAAAATTAATAATGCATACCTTTTTCTAATTTTGTGGGTAATCCTAACTGCCTCAAATATGGTTCGATGGCATGTGAGAACTCTGGCAAAGGTCCTTCGCACAAATCCACTGTCCTCTTCGCTTTGAACCCTGACCTGGCGAAATCCACATAAGTGAAACCATCGAACCATCCTGTTACTTCCTTTTTACTGCTGTTCGTGAACAACAGCCCACATGAGCCTTTCAGTGTGTCAGTCAGCTAAAACATCAAACACATAAGCATCTCCACAAATCAATTTCAATTGTAAACTCAACAAACCTTATGCAAATCGTTGCTAATTTCCTCGTCCTTGTTCCTGCCCAAACCGATGCCAATCACTTTGTTCTTTCCAAAGAAGAATTTGCTCGGTTTCATCTGTTGCCTGATTTCCTTCATCTTCTCATTCCGCATGTTCCTGTATGTAAAGACATATATGCTGCTGAACTCCTCGACGCAGCTCCTCACATCGTCGACAATTTTCTGTTTCAGCAGCAAACCTTTCTTGTCAGTCTTGGTCAACGAAACTGAAAACAGAAATACAAATATACAATTCGGTAACCTACAATATAACATGCCTTGTTTTCGGTTATGAGGTTATGTTTCTTAACATAAAACAAGTTTATTTAGATGATGAAGATTCGTTTTACTTACTTTTCTTTGCTCTTTTAGCTTTCGGCATCTTTAAGCTTGTGAAATGTCTGAGTAATACTGGAAATCAGAAGATGATACACTGATAATCCTCGGTTTAATGTTATAAATGCTTGCGAGGATTTAAGTTGTGTTTGGAACAGAAATTTGCAGGATGACCAACATCATCATCCACAAAAAGAAACATGTGTTTGTAACTTAAGTTGCAAACATTTTATTTCAAAATTTGAAAAACTTTTTGTATAAAACTTATGAAATGTTATTAAAATTTGATTATATATGATAAACATTTTACTTCTATGTGCATCTAATTAATTAGACTCTTGTGTATAATAATCAATGGTAATTCTTTGAAATTAATTGTGAAATATTAAATCTATGAAAAGTAATGAAATTTTTATCTGCTCGTACGTTTTCGTTTCAAGTAAATGAAGATTCTGTTTTTTATTTGGCAGAGTCAGAACGCGACGAAGGAATGCCTGGATAATGGAATGTGGTTTGTGAACGAGGAAGGAAAGGCATGGACAAATTACACGAAATGCTATACGAGCGAGGAGACCGTAGTCGAGGTCCCCATTAAGTCGGATATTGCCCCGCATTTTATAACCGTGATACTAATGATATACCCGGGATTGTTGCGCAATTAAATAACACATTACTTTTTGCAGACCTATTTACCGACCATCAAGATTATATCGAAAACCGGATACTCCGTCTCTCTAGTCACATTGGTGATTGCATTCATCATAATGTTTTCCATAAAGTATGTGTTTTCATTAAAAACAATAATAAAATCGCATTAATAATGATGTAATATGTTTTTAGGAAATTGCATTGTCCAAGGAATAAACTCCACATGCATCTGTTCGCTTCGTTCATCTTTCGAGCTTTCATCTCTTTGCTGAAGCACATCATCTTCGTGGACGGAGTCGGGCTACATTCAGACATAATCCTCAAGAATGGACAAAAGTTTTTCTTTGTCGACAAAAAGGTTTTGCGCTTCGCATAAACAAACGATTAATTAATAATATTATTAATTGCAGTACGGAAATTGGGGCTGCAAATTGATAATAAGCCTCTTCCAATTCTTCATCACGGCCAATTATTCCTGGATCCTCATGGAAGGTCTCTACTTGCACAACCTAATTTTCCGAGCCCTCTTCGCGGACTCCAATCGCAAGATCACACCTTACATCATCATGGGTTGGGGTATGTAACAATTATACAAATTTGTATAAGGAATTTCTAAATGTATACTTCTTAAGGAATGCCGGCTGTAGTTACCAGCGTCTGGATTGTTACCAGAATCATGCTTGAGAATACGCTCTGCTGGACGACGCACGACGACAAGAAGATGACTTTTCTGATTATACGCATACCGACCGCAATTTCCATATTGGTAACAGATTGTGTTTAGTTTAGAAAATTATTGAAATCTTGGATTTTCAGTTGAATCTGATACTGTTCGTGAGGATAGCCGTGGTGATATTCAGCAAGCTTCAGGCTCACGTTTACGAAGAAGCCAGAAGATATCAGAAATGGGCTAGAAGCACGTTGGTTTTGGCGCCGCTCTTCGGCATACATTACGCGTTATTGATCGGAATGTCTTCGTGGATCAACAAGGACGAAATCATCGAATCCATTTGGCTAATTTCAGATCAATTGTTTGCAAGTTTTCAGGTAGAATTAATTAATATTTAATTAATAATGAAATATGTGTTTGTTTTTAAACTGTAATTACTTATTTTAGGGATTCGTCGTGGCAATATTATATTGCTTCATGAACAGCGAAGTGCGCACGGAGCTGAAGCCGCACGTGCACGTTTTCCTGACCTATTTGGCTACGAACAAGTGTCTGAAATACTTTTTCCCCTGCAGGGAGAAGTACCTTAGGTAATTATAAAAGGAATGATAGTTAAACAGTTCGATGATGATAGTTAATGCCTTCCTCTCAGATCAGCTAGAGGCAGAACATCCGTGTGCACGACGATGTCCTGCAGTTCGCTCTTCAACAACGGCGTGAACCATCACAGGAACAGCAGAACCAGAGGCTGGGAGTTCATGGGCCGCAATAAAAACGTAAATGTCCACGGTAATCACTCTCGCTCCCCGAATGGAGCAATTCCATCTGAAATTCAAATCTCTTTCGCTCGTGCTTTGGTAGACAGGAACGTGGACCACGTATGCAGGACGAACGCACGGAGCTGGCACGAAGGACCAGGCAGATGGAACGCGGCCAGATGCACTTCAGCCGGATGCAATCGAGATGCGAAGCATTACAATTTCAGCTCCAACGGCAACATTCCGGTAACACTGTCCAACCTCGAACTCGCAGATACTCATCTTCTGTAAATTTCAGAGCGAAAGGTCATCTTGTCTAGAGCAGCCGGCAAAGTGCAAATCCGAAACTCAGTTGGTGAGCGAGAACATCAGCATGCTTCCGAGGAATTGATTTGGTATTAGACTTCATGTGGTGAATCTCCGAGATGGTCTCAATTTATTTTTTTTGGAAAGCAACGTTTCTGTGGATGAATCGTCCTCGTTTTTTTATGGAAATCAACCAATTTATTCATAAAAGACGCATATTTTGATACGAATTATTTGGAGGAACGATGGTCGGTGGAAAACGAAGGCATCGATATATTTAAATATTGATTTTACTTGCTGTTACTTACATTACGTGATGAATAGATGTGTTAACTGTAATTTTGTACCAAAAATAAATTAGTCATATTTGTACACTAAATATATGTTTCTAAAAATTTAATGTAAGAAATGAGTCTCAAATTTGTATTGAGTCAATTACACTAAAACTTTACTAAGTAACTATTGTCTGTTGAAACACATTCAGAATGGATTTATTAACTTGAATTTTGAAATCAAAGTTGGCCTACAAAAACGTATTTCACTAATATATAATTAAATTGTAAATCATAAACTAGTTAAATCATTCACAAATGGATAAAAATGCTTTAAATGTAAGTTCCAATATTCACAGTGCAAAAATTGAATTTCTTCAAATTTCAAATAACCATTCATAAAGATATCGGTGTGCATAACGATTAAATAGTTTAGTACAAAGTGTTTGAAACATATCAATGTCTTTAGCATGTGTCCTATTTACTTTGACGTGGGAAATATATTTGTGATACAGAACAAAAAAAAAATTAGAAAAGTTTTGGTGTTCGCTTGTAAATTGTATACATATAATGTTAAGTAAATGTTGAAAGCTGCACAAATTCAAATTTGTGTTTGCGAATTTTACTAAATTAATTATTGGAAAGCGATCGAGAAGCGATGTATAAATGTTCAATAAATATCTGAAAACGAAAATGTATGACTGCTTTTTTTTTTTGTTAATATAAACAAATTTAAATCCATTCTCTTCAGTGCTATCCTTTAGACCAGTGATTCTCAAACTTATTGGTCCGCGACCCCCTTTTAGACATAAACAGTTTCTGCGAAGAATGGGCCAAGATTGATCTGATACATAAGAATATATCTTATATTTGTACAGTATATGTTATCAATTACATAGCTCTTGATTATTGATCCAACATTGACCGACATTCAAGGTGATAGGTTAATTATTTGCAATTAAAATGCTTGATTTTGATAACTTATAGTAGATGTACTGACCAAACCACAATCTTCACTTCGTTGGAAAGGTTGTAGTTTTGACTTTAATTTGTGTATAGATTGTTTAATTATCACGAGTGGTAATCGATTAATTAAAAGAAACTTGAAGGTATTGCAGCAAATTGAAAAAAATGTAAAATAAATGGTTATATTCATATATATTAGAAAATTTGAATTTACTGTTTTAAAGAATAATTATTTCGCTTTCGTTTGCTATAAAATACGTTAGTTTTGGTCAATTAATAAGGAAGATATGCGTTGGCGGTTTTCGCGAATTAAAACGCAAGTCCCCCCCCTGATTCTTGAAAATGCCAGAAAATTTGGATTCGCACCAGGAGACTATGAGCAGCGAGGAGGTATCTGAGCTTCTAGATCAATACATCTTGAATATACAAGGATTAAAATGAGCGTAAATGTTAATTTGTAGCTGCAATGGTGTCTTCATAATTGATAAACAAACTTTGGTATATCACAAATGAGTTGTAAAAAGAACGTCTTAGATAATGACCTGTATTTTCGTAAACATGAGCTCCCAGAAGAATGTTATAAATGCATGTTGATCTGGAATATGCACGGATTAAAATAAGCGCAAATATTAATTTATAGCTGCAATGGTATCTTCATAATTGATTAGCAAACTTTGGTATTTCACAAATGAGTTGGGAAAACAACGTCTTAGATAATGACCTGTATTTTCGTATACATGAGCTCCCAGAAGAATGTTATAAATGCATGTTGATCTTGAATATACACGGATTAAAATGAGTACAAATGTTAATTTGTAGCTGCAATGGTGTCTTCATAATTGATTAACAAATTTTGGTATTTCACAAATGAATTGGGAAAACAACGTCTTAGATAATAACCTGTATTTTCGTAAACATGAGCTCCCAGAAAAATGTAATACATGGATATTGATCTTAAATATACAGAGATTAAAATGAGTGTAAATACAGGCTTGTGGCTACCATAGCATGGTCACAATTAATAATCAAACTTTGTTATTAGACAGTTTGGAAAAAAACGTTTTCGAAAATGGCCTGTATTTTCGTAAGCATTTGCTTCTAGAAGAATGTTGAACATGAATGTTGATCTAAAATATACATATATTAAAATAAGTGAATATATTGATTGATAGTTATATCTCTTTCTGGTGATTTGATGAAAATTAACATTTTTGTTATTCCAGAATTTTAAATGCATCTAGCATTCGGAAATGTTATTCAGTCTCTAAAGATCATGTAAGAAGCAACAATAGAATCATGTGTACTACAGGGTTCATAGTTGTTATCCACTATTTGCAATTGAAAACTGCTAGTAAAGTTTTCCATTTTCTGGAAGTCATTTTCGCGTTCTTAAAATATATTCAATTTTAGCTTTAAATATTAAGATTCATACATGAAGACTACACAAATAAATAATGATGTCTATTTATTTAATATATTATATTTTATTGATGATTTATGTGGTTACATTGGAATAAATATTCATACTCAGCGCTATCTCTTAGTAGATGATTTAAATACTATCGAAATTTATAGTTTGTGACTAATTTAAACATTCTTAGTATTAAGTAATTAAAACAAATTGTTTGGATCTTACTACTTTAACTACTTTCGTATTACACGTTTATATGAGATAAAATTACTTTATCATATCATAGACATCAATAATATAAATATATATATAAAAATCAAGAATAAATAAAATAAATATGTAAATATTAACATTAATTGCAATTACTATTATTGTAATCATCGATCAAACTGGTATCGTTCAAGAACTGATCCTTCTCAGAGTCACTGTCGAATATCTCGAAGGTATTGCTGTACTCATCAACGAGACTGTTGTCATTCAAGAATTCGTTCGCTTCCTTCTCACTTTCAAAAACATTCTCGTTGCTCATGCAGTCATCCAAATGCTTATCCAATTGTTCTTTGGCAATCAACTTTTTGCAAACCAGGCACGGCACTTGATCACCCTTTTCCGGTTTGTACCTTTCCTCCACCTCATCGTAACACTTCATCAAGCAGCTGGCCACGTGCACATCGTAAATCATGCTATCAACTTTAGATTTACAGATATCGCACTCCTTGTAGTCCATGGACGTATCAAAAGCCATGCTGATGTTCTGCATACAGTGCTCTTTATGTTTGGCTAATTCATCGGATTGCATAAAATCATTGCAAATCTCGCATTCGACCAAGTCCGGTGCATCTTTGGATATGTCTATAATTTGGTCGCAATTAGCATCCGGAGTTCCATTTAGACAATTATCTAAATGTCTGTTGATTTCGCTGTCTGCTATTTGCTTATTGCAGACTGGACAAGGAACAGTCTTTATATCAGCGATCTTCGGTTTCTTCGGTGTTTTCTGAATGTGTTCATCGGATAACCGCTTTTTGCTGTTTTGAGATTCGAATCGATTCGCCCAATGGTTTCTCACTGAAGTGTAATGATCATCCACTTTTAAAGAGGAGTTTATCTGGTTACCATAATTATTAATGTATTTCGAGATGGCTGTTGAAGTCTCACTTGATGTAATAGTACTACTACCTAATGCTTTCCCAGATCCAGTAAACCTTGGAATAATAATCTTTTCCACAGGTTTATCATCAGTTTGCGTGGATGTGCTAGGCTTCTTATTAATCACAATAGTCCCAGCGTTCATGCTAACACCTCCAGCAGTTTTCCTAAGTTTATCAATATCGTGGAAACCGTGGATATTTTTGATGTTAGCGTTGTTGTTGAAACCATTATTATTCCCAGTCCTCACAGAGTCCCCACCAAACCCATGTATGTTGCTTTTTGGTAATACTGTATTATTCTTTGGTGTGAGTATTTTGTCTGCAGTGGGTTTTGTGCTTGTGCTTGGCTTCTTTGTAACAGTAGGCAGATACGACCTGATATCACCAGCATTCTTTGGTTTATTATTTTCCTTTTCAGACGTTTTCTTTTTCTTCTCCGTCTTCTCAGGCTCCTTAACCTTGATGAAAGTCCCTCCACATGTCCTACTGTGCTCACCCCACCAGAAATCTCTTGGATTCGGGGCTCTGTTTGTAGCTCTTCTGACCATCCCAAAGAAAGGTTTCCTATGCTGACAGGGCCCATCGCATTTCCACCAGTGTGTTTTATACAATTTCACTTCATCATGAAAGTCATGATAAACTGTAATATTAGTCCCTTGAAAATAATTAAGAAATGTTAATAAATTTTACTTCATAAGGAATAAATCAATTACCAGCATCTCCATTAATCCTGTACATGTGTTTATGAAATTCAGGTCCATGACCATCCCTGTCCTTGTTGTTGTTAGTCACAAATAAAAAAGCATGTATCATCTCATGCAGCAGAGTCTCCACGAGATCCTTGCGAGGACGCAGTTTCAACAGGGGCTCACTCAGAGTTATACTGCAGAGACCACCTCTTCCTTGATAAGAGCAAATACCAGCACAAGTTGTCATCCTCTTGCTCCATGACACGCAGACCGCCAGCAACTTGTTCCAGAAGAACTGCTGATTGAAAGCTATAAACAGATTGTGTATGTTTGGGGTTGGATCAATGAGTTCCCAGGATGGATCAACCAGTGACTTTGTCGAGTCCTTGTTCTTGTTTGTTTTGTATACCAGAGAGTTTGTTGGTGCTTCTATGTGTTGCTCTTGCTCAAATTGTTTCTGCAACTCTGCAGCCAACTCTTGATCCTTTGTGTACAGTTTCGGTGTGCTGTACGTTTCGTCCATTTGGAACAGCTTCTGCAGCTGCACAGCTATCCTGTAGTCTGTCTCTGCCATTTTTCACAATTTTTCAATTCACAATAGATTCGCGCTACATCAGATACTAATTTTTAAAGAGCCAAGATGTTAGCTCGCTCGCCCAGCTGACCTATGACATTAAACTGTGGCTCCATCTACTCACTTTCCAAGACAATACTTACCAAACAAAGTTTTTTGAATCAACAAAATAATATTAAGCATTATTAATATATTTATCATGATTTGCATGCTATTACATAAAATTATAAAAGAAGCATCACACTCAGTTAATTGCCTAGTTCTAATAATAGTATAAGATTCTACTGCATAATAACATCATGTTTACAAAGCTTTTAATCCAAATTCAGTTTCCTTTTATTGTATAAACTTATAAATAAATATATTATATAGTTTGAGGTAAAGGATATTGCAATCAAAAGCAACGTTGGAATTAAATAAATTATTGTAAATGGAAAATCTATTGATGTTTCTTTTTTTTTATATATATAACTATCTTCATTATGTAACAAAATAAAATATATACTATATGGAGCGTTGATCTTCGGTAAATAAAAAAAAATGTATAAAATATTCGACTAAATGCGGTTAAATACAATTATTAGGTAAAATTAAGGGATGCGAAATTAGACAGCCTTCGGAATCGCATTGGAATTTATAGCATCCTTATGTTGATTTGTCAACGGTTGTTGCTGCTGTTGTTGTTGATTGGCAGTGTGTTGCTGCTGCTGTTGTGGAACGTTGTTGATCTGTTGTTGTTGTTGATTATTCATTTGCTGCTGTTGATTCGTTTGTTGATGAATCTGATTGTTCTGCTGTTGATTAGCTTGATAATTTTGTTGTTGTTGTTGTTGATGTGCTTGGTTATTTTGTTGTTGGTATTGTGGATTGTTTTGCTGCTGATACTGATAATTTGCGTTGCCTGCATTATTGTTTACTTGCTGCGCAGCTTGTTGAGGTTGTTGGTATTGTCCTTGTCCACTAACTTTTTGAGTATCTAGAAAACAAGAATTTAAATTTTATGATACTATCTTGCTATACTTTTTAAATATTTCTTCGTACCTGGATAAACCTGATTTGGGTGCGGTTGCTGGTTACCTGGGTAATTAGCCTGCGGCGGATTACCTGGATAATTTGCGTGGCTCGGATAAATCTCGTTGGTGTTCAAATCATGTTGACCTTGATGGTAGTTTCCTACCGGCATTTGATGAGGATTCACTTGCGCCTGCGGCATTTGCCCAGGATGGAATTGCGCTTGCGGCACTTGACCTGCAGGGTAAACCTGATTTGGATGTCCGGGTGGTTGTGGATAGACTTGGTTGTGGTTGATTGGTGGAATGTCGTTAGGATATCCCGGCGGTGGAGGATGTTGCATCTGATAATTGAAAGAAGTTAATAATGGTAGAACTAAGTATGATTAAGGATCAAAACCTGATACTGTCTGATGTAAGCTTCCATCTCTTCGTCGGTGTAAGGCTTCTGCTCATCCAATCCCTGCCATCCGTTATCCTTCTCGAAGTCGTTGCGTTTGGTCTGTTGAACGAACTCTTGGTAATCGATGAAACCATCGCCGTTAGTATCCATTTCCTTGAAGACGGATTCCCTCATCCTTTCCATCTCCTCCACACGTTCCCTCATATCATCTTCAGGAGCTGCAGCTGAATACATCTTATCCAACTCCTAAAAAGATATATTTGTATATTAAACAATTTGTTTACTCAAGCGCTAATTGATAATTCACTTTTATGAACAACGCCTTGACTTCATCCTGATCCCAAAGTCCATTGGAATCCAAGTCATGCAACATGAAGAAAGTCCTTGGATCGAAATCCTGCTGCATGTGATCCTGCTCCTCCCAAACTTCCTCAAGCTGTTGCTTGTGCCCAGGCGTGTGCAGTTTCTCGTGTTTCTTATGCTTCTCTTCCATTTCCTAAATTAATAATCAACAATAAATCAATGCATTATATAATAACGAATCGTACTTGGTATTGCTGCTGCAACTTTTCCCTCTCATCACCGCTCGTGTGATTCAACTTGTCCTGCTTCTCGTACTCCTTCTGCATTTCGTACTGCTTGAAATCCTCGTGCCTAATTCTATCCGCCTTCGCCAGATCCTCGCTGGTCTTCTTGATCAGCTTCTTCAGATCGTCGATCTCGAAGGTGTGCGGATTACCGTGATCCACGTGATGGTGCATCGGATCATCGACATCGACGGTTCCCATCAACTCGTTCCTCTTGGCCACGAGTTCCCTCAACCTCTGCAACTCTGTCCTCTTGATCTCGTCCAAACGAGTCCGAACGTGATGAGAAACCAGCTCCAATTCGTGCGCAATCTTTCCAGAACGAATGTCCTCCTCGTCGGCCTTCTCCAGTTTCTCGCGGAAAGTCGGATCAGACTCCAGAGCGTTCACCACCTCCCTTATGTAACGATGATACTCGACGTAATCTTCGAGACCATCGTTCGGTGTTTGTGGCTTCTCTTCCACAATTTCTTCCTTCTTAGGTTTCACCACCGGAAGACTCAAAGCACACTGGAGCACTGCTGCCAGCAGCAACAACTTCAGAAACATTCTGCAAGTTTTTCCTACACACAACAAAAATAATAATGTTATTGAAAATTATAAGAAATACACATGAATCAAGCAACAAATAATATAATTTAAACAAAGGAACTACAATTGTCTTATCTTGCCCAATAATACGATTTGAGATGCAACAATAATGAATAGTTGCTCCACTTTAACAAACAAGTAGATTGTTACCGATTACAACTAACTAGAGCACTAATCAAAATAATAATAGTATTCTTCCTATTCCAATTGGATACAAAAAACAAGATACCTTTCACTTTTGGTGTTAGTTTGTTAACCAAAAAAAAGCAGAAACCATTTGCGTACTTGGGAATATTACGCTTAATAAATTTAAACGCGCAACGGTCACGAATAAACTATATATACTAAATATTACCTCAACAAATTTTATCACAAATTACTCCAGTGACGTGTACTTAAAACATGATTGCGATGCGAATTGCCTAAGCTGTTGCAACATATGTTTGTGCTCAGAAGTAGATCGAATGACTCGACCTACAAAAATTGCGATATGTGATGAACATTAGAACTACTTTTTTTGAAATGAATATGTATTTCTTTTATCAGAAACTTATTATTAATATTAAGAATTCAATTAGAAACTGTTTGTTTTTTATATACATTTAATGTTTATTGTTGTCGCCAGGTTAATTAATCCTAAGCAAAATAAATAATTTTATAATACTTCATCACTCGACGCGTATGTCTAGATCAGGTTTCAATTCTTGTAACATAAGGCAGGTCATCTCGAATTCTCGAGATGCAAATATGTTGTCCACATAGAGGATCTTCAATTTATCCATCTTCGATAAAGCCCCAATCCCTCTGTGGGTGATCAAGGGAATATTCCTCAAATCCAAATACAGCAGGCTGTGACTGAATACATGGCCAACTCTGTCCAAAGCCCAATCATCCAGATTCTGGCAACCGTTCAGACTCAGCCATTCCACCCCATGCAATTCCTTGAAGTTAATCAAACCCTCGTAATACAAATCCATGTCAGTGCAATCGATTGCCTGCAGATACAAGTCTTCAGTGAATATAGTGGGTAGATCATACTCATTGAATTTATTGGCCTTTATCCATTTATCACTGTCAAAGAATTTCACTGCTCCACCCCTGTACACAGTGAAATGAGCTGCGGCCAGATCATTGCCCAAAGTTGCATTCCTCTCCGGTATGTACTGCTGCAAAGCTATATTGGTTTTCACCTTCCTCTTTGCGAACCAATTCTTTATACTGTTGGGAGTCAAATTGATCGGTTGCTGGATCATTTTAAGCACATTGGTTTGATTATCTTCTGAGTAGAAGGCTTTGAGCATGCTGTAGTATTGACCCTCTTTCTCGTGCCATGGGGTTCTCCAGCTCATGTCACCTGCAGTTGTCTCATTACTTCTGGCTATTTCTTCCCTCGTAACTTTCGGAGTCTTCACCAAATCTCCAGGCATCATCTTCTTGGGAACAACATTCTTCTCGCTCGTGCTGCATCTCGCAACTTGAACACCACCAGTTGCGGGCAAATTTCTTAAAGATCGTATCAATTTGTACATGTTTTTACAAATATTATTATTACTTAAATTTTAGGTTATGGATCTAAAGTCATGTTTGAATTTTGTTTTCAAACAGTTGGTAACATACAATTTTATAAAAATTCAAATTTATTATCAAAAAGTTTATTAATTAAATTAGAAAATTTTATTAATTACAAAATCAATAGAAGAAATATAACAAAAACAATATATATCTAATACAGTTATTAATAATGAATATAATTTATTTATTTCAATACTTAATGAATTTAGTAAGTAGACTTAAAGCAGAGGTACTTTGATTTAATGTTCATTAAGATGTGAATTACAAAAAAGAGTAGTCATTGATCTTAATTTGTTATTGGTAATAAAATTTGATATGTTGTTTTTCTGTTGCGTATGAATCAATGAATGCATGAATCAATCGTTTTAAGTGAAAAATAAGAAAGATTGCAGTGTTTCAATGTTATCGCGGTTTTTCAATGGTCGCAATGAATCCGCAGTTGCTTTAATGATTCACTCTGCGAATGAGAGTAATGAATGGTATAGATTTCCCTGTAGCAGGAGAAGTAATCTACATTTCTCGTTGAAACAAAGTTAGCTTGGAGTTGCGAGGCGAGGCAAGGCAGTTGGGAAATAAATGGACCATCCGCCGATATCTTATCTCGCTGAGTGATTGCTGTGCAAGTTGAAGGAAGGAATGAAAGAGGAAGGAAGGAAGGAAGATGAACAGATGTGTTTAAAAATTAATTGCCGCTTGGTGTCTGCACGAAGGACACGTACGAAAGCACTCGCGGGACTTAATAAGTTTGTCTTCGTCGCGGTTCTAATTAACCTTAACGCATCCACAGAATTGGAAAAGCTAAAAATATTCCAAACAAGCGTACTACGCTCACGATTGAAATCATTGCATTTTTTCTGCCCTAGATGCCTGTCCAAATGACTATTAAGTCAATGTTAACTAACAATTCGTTAGGCGTACAATTCTTAATTAATCGAAGGCGAAATCCTTTAAACATAAAAATGGAAAAAGTCATCACTCTTAATAATTGTAAAACTTTTTTCAAATCCAAATATTATTTAGTTTTGTTCACAGAACTTAATGATTGATAATTCAAATTTGTCAATAAAAAAAAACTAGGAAAGATATATAATT